GAAAAACTGAAAATATGTAGAATCATCGAGCATGTGATGGGCAGCTGACCTCATATCGCTGCGCTTTGCTGGACCCAGGATCATGTAAGTGCGCTGGAGGCTGAGGGGACAGGGATAGACTCATATCAATCGAGAATCCTACTTCAATGCAAGCCTTGATGAAAGCGACATTCCTGGTGGTGAAAAAATCTCGAATAGAGGGCCGATTCGTGTTACGGAGATGCTCGACTAGTATATCACTGAGAGAAATACTCGTACGAGGGATCGAACCCTAGACCTATCGGTAGTTTACATCATTCTCACACTCATAGCCTCGTGGCCCTTGTGTATGCCCAAGGCCGGGTTCACCTGCGATATACAACGGAGAGAGGGCGATCGGGGTGAGAGGTCTACGTGAGAATCCCAAACGTGAGAGTAGGGGCCATGGCCGAGGTCGTGACAAAGCCCTGCGATGATCACGCAGAGCTTATCCTCCTCATCGATGCCGTATTCAGGTTGGTTACAGCTCAGCTGATCGACCAGCTTCTTCCTGAATGAACCATCGGAAGGTTCCCGGTTCAAACCCAAGAGCCGGCTTACGCTAAATAGGCAGCTCCAATGGAATGCTCGAACCTAGTGTGAGTAGCCCCCATGAAGACATATCCAGCGGAACCTGACAATACCACTCTTCTTCCACTTCGTCTGTTCACCACCTCACCCAGCTGTGATTCATTCCTCAAGCGCTGAAAGTAAGGCGTGTCTATTATACGCCGACAGATCTCTGGTAGAGTAATGAGCCTATGCACCGGACACTGAGTCGAGAACCCCTCATGGAACGCCAGAGTATATCCAAGGACCTGCCAAGACCGGTGGTCAGATAATCGCACTAACCCGTGTCACACCTTGAGGTGGTATCTTCCCTGCTCCTCGAGGTCGCACAGAGGAACCACAGCACCGGTAGTGGCATCTCTCAGCTCGATCGATCGCACTTTCTCTAAACCAAATGAGTACTTCAGTTGGGTGAGAAGCCCCTTAGTGCTTTTAAACCTGAAGGGGAAAACCAGTGAAGGCATACAGCAGTGCTGTCGGGCAGCTTACGAGAACCTTTCGATCTTTCCTTGGGAATCAACTTCAATCAGCCTTCTATAGAGGTCTTCAGAAAGGGCTTCAGTCCTAGCTGGAGTCGCTTCATTCACTAGGTCTCCATCATTCTCGTTAGGCGACATTATGACGGCTACTACAAGGGAAACAACTGAGGAAAGAGGGAAGGTCACGATGAAAGAATTTCAAGTCAATAACAGCATCTTTTGATGGCAACAGATATTTTACGATGGACAAGCAGTCAAGTGGTAGTCAGCAATGTATTGATCATGAGAAGGTATAAGCTTATCCAAGCATAGGAATCGGTGTTCTCTTCTCATCGAGAACACATCATAGCTGTGAACACATCATAACCGTGAACACATCATTAGTGTGAACACACCATTAGTGTAAACACATAGATTAAGCGACGCCATTGTGGGGCGCTGTTGTGTTTGATAAGGCTTAGTAGCGATGATCAGTTGAAGAACCGCTTGGTCCTAGCTGTGAACTCGTATTCGTTTTTGCTTGTTACCGCCATGAATACGTGGTTCTTTGCTCGAGAGCCTCTTCGGGGCGACACAGCTATGGGAGGCTCTCTGCCGCAACCCATGTGACCTTATCAACACAAGACATCTCCCAAACGGAACTTGGAAATAGCGGTCTATTCGCCGTAATGTAACCATGTCCCTACACAGGGGAAAGGGCTTACCAGGCCACACTGCCTCCATGGACACATCCCTCTACAGTAAAAAGGCCTCACCAGCCCACACTGCCTCAATGGGCATATCCCTCGACACGGGAAGAGCTTACCAGCCCACACTGCCTCGATGGGCATATCCCTCTACAGGGGAACAAGGGCTCACCAGCCCACACTGCCTCGAGGGGCATATCCCTCTACAGGGGAACAAGGGCTCACCAGCCCACACTGCCTCAATGGGCACAGCCCTCTACAGGGGAACAAGGGCTCACCAGCCCACACTGCCTCAATGGGCA